GAGATGGCGAAAGTTCGCTGGGTACATACTCCGCTCGGCGCAGCTGGAGGGGGCGAACCTCGAGGGCGCCGACCTGCGCGGCGCCGACCTCACCGGCGCCAACCTCGCTGGCGCCAACCTGAAGAATGCCGACTTGCGCGGCGCAGTCCTCATCGGCGTCAACCTCGAGAAGGCCGACCTCGAGGGCGCCAAACTGCAGGGCGCGAAGTTCGAGCGCGCCGTCCTCGCTGGCGTCAAGCTCATCGGCGCCAAGTTCTCACCCTTCAAGCCGCCCGAGGCGCGCCCTCCGACGCTTGCGCGGGCGTGGCGGCTGCGGGCGGTCGGCGGGCAGGCCGCGAAAGGGCTCTACGCGGCGCTCGCCGGAGGCGATAGCGACGGCGGCAGCGACGACGAGGGGGCGGAGGAGGAGGAGGAGGAGGAGGGGACGGCCACGAACATCGTCGCCAACGCGCTTGAGGCGGGCGTGACGGCTCTCGTGAAGGCAGCGGCGCCGGCGCTCGAGCTCGTGGAGGAGATCATCGGCAAGCTCCGCGCTGCGCTCAACGGCTGCATCGCCGTGCTCAAGGCCGCGGGGGACTGCGACAAGCCGGCAGAGTTTCTCTGCGACGCCACCCGCAAGCTCGTGCGCTTGCTCGTGTCGGAGCTGCTGCAGCCGCTGCTCGCTGTCTGCAGCGATCCTCCCGACTCTTGGGCCTCGCTGCGAGAGGGCGTGCTGCTGAAGCTCGAGCCGCAGCCCAAAGAGCTGCTTGGCAAGCTCGCGGCGTCGATCGCGCCGTCGGTTGAGCCAGAGTCGACTGCCGAGGCCGAGCCGCCGCCGGCGGCGGCGGCGGCAGCGGCGGCGGAGGGGGGCGAGGCCGCGGGTGAGCTCCTCCGAGAGCTCTTGCGCCTGATCGCCGAGGAGGCGACCGCCATGCTGCCGGCACTCGAGGAGTCCGTCGAGGCGGTCGTGTCGAAGACCCTTCAGATGCTGTCATTGCACGTCGAAGACGTCGAGCTCGGACTCGTACGCGATTTCACAGCCGTCGCCGACCGCCTCGAGAAGCATCTCGAGACGGTGCTAATCGAGGAGGGGATCGGCAAGCTCGTGTCCAAGTTCCTGCTCGGCCGCTGCGGCGCTCATTATGCTGTTCCTCTGATTCGATAGAGAGCAAGCGCTGACGATGAACGGAAGTCTATCAATAGGCGCTGTCCTCGAGAAGCTGAGCGACGTCGCCTCCGAGCAGCTGAAGCTGGCGGAGCAGATGGAGAAGACGATCGCGGCGAAGGTCGCTAGTGTTGGCGACGCCGCGAACCAGAAGCTGCTCAAGTTCGTCGGCGGCAAGGGCAGCATCAAGAGCCGCGTCGTCAAGTCCGTCCTCAGCGCCGCGACAAAGTACGAGGTCAGCGCCGGCGGCTTCCAAGGGAGCTTCGACATGCTGCGGCTGGCCT